CCTGGCCTTGGACACTTCCAGGGATCCAGGGGCAGCCACAGCTCCTCTGGGCAACCTGTGCCAGGGCCTCACCACCCCCACACGACACCTAGGACCCTCCCAGTGCCTCTGCCCCACCATCCCAGCACAAGAAGCCCCCCAAGAGGGACAAAAACGGCCTTTCCCCCTTTTTTCTTTCCTTTAACCCAGATTAGTTCACAGACCCAAGCTTGATCAGGTCCCTGGGGCAGCACACACAGGCAGGGGTGGGGAATGGGAAAGAGTCCCAGGCCAAAATTACACAGTCCAAACTGTGCTGGTACAGCCAGTCCCGCTGCCAACTGAGTAACAGCTCTCAAATACCCTGGCCTGGCCCCAGGAAAAGCCATGGAGTGCGTGCTCAGAGCTCAGCCCTGCCCTGTGAGCCTCAAACCAGGGACGAGAAATCAGCTTTCAGCCCCCAGTGAGCCTGGCTCCAGAGCCAGAGCCCTCAGAGCCACGCTGGCATGGCAGCCGGCTCCTGGGGTTTAAGGGAAGGGGGAGATGAAAGGCACCACAAATTGATGGGACCCCACAGCTACATCCTGAGAACTGGCAACACTGGCCAAAAAACTTTGGCTGAGCAGGCAGGATGCCAGTCCCGGTCCTGCCCTGGGGGAGCGTGGAACCAGCTAAGTGGCTCCAGGGAAAGGGTTTCCCTTTGGAGGTGCTCGGGGAAAACAGCACAGGGCAAACACGTGCCTGCTGCCACGTCCCCAGCCATCCCTGCTGGTCCCACTCCAGCTCCAAGTCAGTGGAGTGGGTGGCAGGAGTGGGGACACGAGCTTGGCTTTCCAGCCTGACATCTGTAGGTGCTGGATGGGCCAAGCTTCTCATCGTCTTGCAGCCAAGCCACGGCAGCCTGAGGTGCCAGAAAGGAGCCCTTTTCCCACCAGGAGAGAGTCTGCACGCACAGCCCTCCACCCCCAAACTTCACCTGCCCACCACCAGCCACCTTCCATCCCTCTTCCCCAGGGAAGGGGTCACAGCACCAAGCCTGACAGCTCGAGAAGCATTTGGACAATGCCCTCAGGCATGTAGTGGGGTTGTTGGGGTGTCCTGTGCAGGGCCAGGAGTTGGACTCAGTGATCCCTGTGGGTCCTTTCCAGCTCAGAACAGCGATTCTGAGACCTCCCCCTTCATTCCTATCCCGGTGAGCTCCCTAAAACCTCTAAATCCTGACACCCAGCAGGAGCTAAGGGGAGGCTGGCAGGACACAGCTATAAAAGGCCACGCTGCTGTGACACGTGGGCCGGGTCAGCCCGCGGTGGCCCCGGGGCCAAGGGGCGGCGGGGCCACCAAGCCCGTGCCCTGCGCCTCCCGCTATATAAATAGGCGCCGCATTCCCGGCAGCATCCCAGCACGCGGCGATCCCACCCGGGCCATTAATCTTGGCAGCGGGGACCTGCCATTATGCCGGTGCCTGGGAACTAATTGGGAGTTCAGAAAGATATCATTCAGCTGCTGAAACCCGAGCGCTGTCCCTGCGCCAGCCCCTGGCTCCCCCGGCACGCGGGGACGTCACCGGCATTCGCTGGGAGACGGTGGGGTCACGTCCCGATGGAGCCACGGAGGAGAGGAGCAGTGCCCAGCCCAGGATGGGGCACGGGGAATTAGGGAATGGCCCGGTGTGTGTGTCGCTGGTATGTGGCTTTAAGGAGGATTTAAGGCCAAGAAGCACCAACGGGTTCCCACAGCACTGGGGAGCTGGGACGTGCTGGAAGCTGTGGGAGTCACAGTCCCATAGGAGCTGCTCTCTCCTCCAGTGACCCCAGCATTGGCTTTATAGCAGGTGACTTACACTTCCACCAGTCCTTCACTGCAGCTGGTATTGAATGATTAATTAGCTACCTCCATCTCATTAAAGCACACAACTCAGACCATATTATGCATCGCCTCTGCTGCCAGTAACTGTAATTCCTAAATTATTTTTTCCTTCTAACTAACACTGCTGGAGCTCCTGCCTGGTCCTTGTTTGTTAGCCTGCACCCTCCAAAAACCACTTGGCAGAAACACTGCCTCGCTGCTGTTGACTTAAAGCCACCTTCAGCAGGCACACAGCCATGGGTGGCTGCTGGGCTAATCCACACAGCCCCCAAAGCCACGTGGGCTCTCCACTTCCCAGGAGAGACAGCCTGTCCCACTGATCCTCTCCAGGATGGAGGAGATGGGACAAACAAAACCTTTAACTGCTCAGGGCTTTCACTGAAGAACGCTTTATTTTAGGTTTTTGAGGGACAGCAAAAGTCTCTGGGCTTGTGGCCACCCGTGCCAGGATGGTGTCTCTGCAGGGGGGTGGTGGCACAGGGGCACTGCCAGAGCATCACATGTGCCCTGAACCCTGGAGCATGTTGCATCAGGGACACGGTAAACCAAAGGCCCCCTGTCTGCCCTGCTCTTCCCTCTGTGTTGCAGTTGGGTTTTTTTTTTCTCCTCAGCAAGCCAAAAAGGGTAAGAGCCACCAAAATTCTTTGGGTTTACTTCTTGGGTACAAATTCTCCTTCTCCTCCCAAGGATGGAGAATAATCACAAACCAAACACTCCTGCACCCTCAATCCTGAGCCTGCATGATGTGCCCCACACACCTCCCATGGCTCAGCATGACCAAAGCCAAGCTCCTGACCCCAGAGAGCTTCATTGAGGAGCCACAAAACCTCCTCTAGGCAGGAGAACAGTCCCAGCCACACGGACACCCAAGTTCAAGAGAACCCTCCTGCTGCTTGGCCATGAGTCTGGTGCTGGCACACTCTGCTCCAGCCCAGAGATCATGGCATGGATTCAACACAAAGCTTCAGAGCAGCGAGGTGTGGAGGGGGGAGGAGGATGTGGACCCTCATCCTCTCTCTACATCATCTCCAGGCAGGTCCAAAGCCTCTGTTTCTGCTTGGGTTCCATCCCATGGTTATGGCAATCAGCCTGTTGGAGCTGGGCATCCCCAGCCCCACTCTCTCCTGGCACCCTTTTGTTTTTCTGAATTTCAGGCTTCCAGGCTATTTCTTGGCCAGGCAAGTCTTGGAGAGCTGCAACAGCCCCAGGAGCATCCCTGTGGCCAACAAGCCCTGAGCTGCCCCGGATTTGAGATGCCTGAGGCTGCCCCAGCTCCTCCTCCACAATGCTCCCAGTTCTCCCCACATGACAATACAGCACAGGGGCCTCCCCAGGAAAACCACTTTTGTCACCAAAGCCCTTCCCAGGGCAGCTGGAAGGATATTTATCAGCCTTTCCCCTGCCATGGAAAATCTCTGGATTCCAAGCAATGAAAATAAGGAAAAAAAAAAAAAACCACCAAGGGAAAAATAAGGCAAGGGAGAGCAACTCTCCCTGAAATAACAATGTAATATAAATACAGTCAAACTCCTCCTGCAAATATCAAGGGAGTAGTTTGGCACATCCAAAAAAGAATCTTGGCAGGACACACCGAAAGGTATCTGCGTGTCCTCACGCCTGGGCAGCAATGACAACCCAGGGGCCAGAAGCCAAGCTGAGCAGCCTGGGGTGAGACCTGGCACGTGGAGCCACTGCTGATCCTCAAATTAAAACACATCACCCCCCAGCTCTGCTGCTTTGGAGGGTCCCACCCCAGCTCACTGCCCTGTAAGGAGGTGCCAGCTCTCCCAGATTTGTTACCTGCTGCAGTGCCACTTGCAAGCTATCCAAAAAACTCCTAATCCCAGGAATGACTGCAGCCAGGAGGAGCAAGGTAGCAGACACTGGCTGTGCCAAACTACTCTGCTTTGATACTTACAGCACCGTAAGGAAAGCTGGAGTCACACTTGGCAGCATGCAGGGACCAGGAAGCGTCTAAGTGATGTTAAGGTGTTTTTCTCCAAACTCAAGAGCAAGTGCAAGCAGGAGAAGAGAGCAGGGAATCCCCCTTTAACACCCTTCAGGCACCTTTAGCCCTGCCACTCTTCCCCAGGGCAGGACACTTGGCAAAGCAGCTCCTGGAGAGCCACCAGGATGGCAGGTACAAGGCAGGGGACACCCTTTCCTGAGGCAGGGCCATCAACTCCACAGGGCAGTGACAGGAACACTGGCACAGTGCCAGCACAGCCATCCTCCATGGGAAGGGCTGTATTGTGCCAGCAAACCCAGAATAGGGAGGGCATGGAGATGCACCGTGTTTATAGGTGACATTTGTGATTAGATGAGCAGCAGAGACCCATTCCCTGCTCCAGCTGTTGCCTGGAGCACCCCAAGCAACACCACAGTGCAGAACTCCAACAGCATCAGCTACCAACTTATCCCAGAGCCTCCAGAGTGCTGTGGTGGGAGCCAGCCCTGCCTCACTCTGCTCCCAAGGTACCTGCTGGGAGTTTTAATTAATTCAGAAGCCCAGCAGGTCATACCTGAGCTCAGCAAGCTCCAGTAAAGGCCCTGCCTGCAGCTGCCTCACAGGAGAGCAACCTGGCAGGGGATGGAGGAGGAGGAGGACAAGGGGGTTCAGGGAGAGAAATTGTTCTCTACAGAAAGGGCAGCTCATCTCCACCTCTGGCAGGACCTCTCACAGAAAGGAAACCCACACCAAAGTAAAGGATGGACAGAAAATAACAAAGAGAGGGTGGTCCAAGAACAGCGGCTAGGGGGAGGAATTTCGCAGACTCACAAAGAAAGAAGCTCTTGTATTTCTCTTTGGTCAGAAAAAAACAACAAAACCACCCCACCACCAAGCCTATCTGCTCCCAGCAGCTGTGCAGAGCAGCACATTCCTCGGGCTGAATCGTGGTCCTGCGGCTCCCAGGAGAGGAGGAACCCACAGCAGAAAGGGCTGAGCGAAGCTAAAAATGAAAATCTGGAGCTGAGACAATCTGGGGAAGGCAGAGGAAAGCAGGAGCCACAGTGGTTGCTGGCAGCAGAGCATGCAGGACTCTTTCTTTGTCCAGGGACAGCCCAGAGAGCTGCCCCCAAATCAAACCTCCCTTTGGGATCTGCACAGGGAAGGGTCTTTGGTGCCAAGACCCTCGTGGTTAACCAGGGCAACCCTACAGCTGGTTGGAAGGGAAGGGAGGGAAAGGGTCCTGTCCTGAGGGGCAAATCTGGGGTGCTCATCCCAGCCTGGTCAAGCTGGCAGAGGGGTGGGCAAACATGGACAGATGTGATGTAAAAGACAATGGGAAAAGAAAGGGGCCTCTCCCTCAGCACTCCCATGGTCACAACCCACTGCCCTCACCCACTCCTCAGGTGGGGCTGGGGGGCTCCTGCAGGGCTAGGAGACCCTGGAACTGGCTACCCAGTAGCAAAAAGCAGCCCATTCCGAGGGGACCAGCCCCAGTCTCTCCCAGGATGGAGAAAGCTGCATCCCTGGGATGTTTGTAGCCTCATCTGCCAAATCTGGGGTTCAGCTGCCAGGGATCCCATGGGTGGGCAGCCCCTGCATTTGCACCCCTGAGCTGGTCCTGCCTCACTCTCCACCTGCTCCTCCTGCCTGCCCCAAACCCACCCAGCAAATCCAAAGCTGCTCAGCAGAGGCAGGGGACCAGCACACCCCCTTCCCACTGCCAAAATCCCAACCAGGGATGTGGGTTTAAATTAAAACTGGGGGAAAAGCAGAAAACGTTTCCTATTTCCCCAGGACCTGCAGACCTTGGGGTGATGCTGTGCAACACAAGAGCCCCAAACCCCAGAAACCTGTCCCACACCTCCCACCACTGCCTGACCCCAGTCCCGTAGCAGAGAGACGGAGCTGCTGGACATTGAGCAGTGGCACACGTGTCTGATACGCCACCCCAGCACCATCCCAGTACAGAAGGACCTTTGTCACTCCTTGCACCCTTGTCTCTTACCTTCCAACACCACCTCCTTGCCCGTCTTCTTCAAGGCCTGCACGGCCTCGTCGTGCGTGGCCTCGGACAGGTCGGTGCCGTTGACGGAGAGGATGGCATCCCCCACGTACAGCGCCTCGGTCTGGTCTGCTGCCAGCCCCTTAAAGATCTTGGAGATCAGGATGGGCATTTTATTCTCTCGGCCACCTTGAAACAGAAGAGACAGGAAGCAGTTGTGGCTGCTGGAGCTCATGGAGAGCAGGTGGGGAGGGGGATGCTCCGGTACCAGATGGCCCTGGTGAGGCTGAGCCCTTCTCCTGGCACTCAGTTGTGCTGGGTCAGCCCCCTGCTCGTTCCCCCAGATGCCCACAGGACACCTGTACCAACCACAGCAGCCAAACTACCACCAGGCTTTACAGCAGATGAAGTGATTGCTCCAAAACCACTAGGAATGATCACAGATTAGTCACAGAGTGAACACGTAAACCTGGCCATCTCCCCATCAATTCTGGCAGGAAAGCATGTCTTTATTTGCATTATTAATCATGTGTGCTGAGAGATTATCCTTGCTCCAAGGACTTCATGATCTCAACAGATAAGACAGCTGAACGTTTTTGGAGAGGCCAAAGAGTCAGGGAGAGGTGAACCAACCTGGTTGCATGTTCCTTTCAGCACAGCAGCCCTATCTTACCTGCTGCTCTCCTGACTAAAAGAATGCTATTCAGACTCCCGGCGGCTTCGGGAGATCAATTTGCACGTTAACTTTTGAACCCGCTGGGAGATCCGAGCTGCCTCCGTGCCAGGGAGCAGGGATACAGCAGCTACTGCCCATGGCAGTCGGGGATCATCAGTCCCTGAGATGCCCCGTGCCCCAGGACAGCCTGTCCCGAGGAGCCTCCAAGAGATGTTCTTCACCCCAGAGGGAGAGGTTGAGCCCAGCCTCTTGTCACTGCCCGCCCCCAGGCTGCTCCCAGCCAGTGCCACAGGCATTTCCTCGCTCAGCCGCCTGCCAAGCCCTGCGAGGGCTCTGGTTATCAGCTGTCAGAGGCCCCGGCGGGGGCTGCTCCGTCCTTGCGGCAGCAGCTCCTGTCTCAGCTGCCAGCACCGAGAGTCCTGCCAGGGCCCAGAGCCTCGGCCGGCACAGCTCTAGCTCAGCTTCCTGCTGTCTTGCCAGCCCAGCACCCCCAGCACCCAGACCCACACCCCATGGCAGGACACCTCACCCACAGCCCGGGTGGCGGGGAAGTGTCCCTGGGTGAAACGCGGTTGGCACGTGCACAAACAGGGACGTGCCAGCAGCCTGGAGAGGAGGAATGATGTCCTGTCCTACCAGAGCTGCCCCACCACTCACAACAGCTTCTACTGCCCAGTTCTGATGGCAACTACTTCTTTTCCACATACGTCACTGCAAAAATAGAGTCTTGACTGAACCAAGTGTAGTTTCTCCTTTCCTGGGAGAGCCACAGAGAAAGCAGTAACTTGGCAGCCAAAGGGTCGTTACGAAAGGGGTTTTATCCTTCCAAAAAAAGGGGGTTGGCAGGCTGGGGCACCCTGGAGATACGGCCAGCAGTGTCGATCCAGTTCCAGCACACAGATATCCACATAGCAAAACCTCACGACTTCAGAGGGAGCCGGAGGCTGCGTCCGTCTCCTCTGAGCTGTGAGGAGAAGCCACGTCAGGAGGCGAGAGCTGCCCTGTTGCTGCCCCCGGGGCTGCCGAGCCCGCTGCCTGCCCTGCCCGCACACGGAGTCACGGCCCCTCACAGCCACGCTCCGTGACAGACCTTTCCCTGCCTCTTTGCTGCCCTTTTCATCCTCCTCTCCACCACGCTCGGAGCCGCGCGAAAAGCAAAGGCAGGCGGGACGCCAGGAACGCCATCCCTGCCCCAAGAAGTTTCCAGCCTGAAGTTCAGGCGAGTCACCAAGGCAGTTTGGGAAGGAAAACAAGGATTACAATAGGGAGGCTTCCCGCTGCTCGGCTTCCCGGGAGCAGACGTCTCCAAGCCCGAGTGCGTTGGTTTAACAGCCCCAGAGCCTGGAGATCTCCAAGGGCTTTACATCGTTTATCTGATAGTTTAAAAGGGCATCTCCCAGCTCAGGGACACGGGGGGACAAGGACACGCCGGCAGAGCCCTCGCTGTGGTTACAAAAGGGCAGCTTTTGTATAACTGGGTGCCCTCTGCAGCCCACCTGCCTCCTGAGACACCACCCTACCCGTGGGCGCGGGGGGACAGCGGGAATCTGTCCCCTCCAGCCCCCAAACGCCGGGGA